AAAAAAAATACTTAATGTGAACTCTGAGATTTTATTAATATGTTTTTATTTTGCATAGTTTTGGGGGAGTTCTCCCAATTTGGGGGTTGCTTAAGTAGTTTTTTTAATCTGCTTAGTCTAGAAATGTGAAATAGTCTGGAAACATGCATGAGAATGCTGTGTCACAAGTTGTTTTCTGGCCCAATTCTTTTGGTGAGGATACCATTCAACCATTGGAAGAATTTGGCCATAGTTAAAGAATTTGGAATGGATTAGAGAGAGATACTGTATATCAGTTACTGCTATCAACTGTGACTATTTAAGGTTATTTCTTGCTCTTGTATGTATGGAGGAGGAATTCTTCTGTTTCCGAAATCTTACAGCGAGGCAGAGCCCTTTCCAGTATTGGGCTTTTCAACCTTCAGAATCACCTTTACATGGAAAATAAGAAAAGTAGAGGATTGTACAGGAAAGATTTTAAGAGACAGGATCACACAGTGTCCATTCCTCCTGTGCACACTGTACTGGGCAGAGCCCAGTCACATGCCCAACCTTTCTGCATGTGGTTAGAACCACAGAGCTACCCAGACTGTACTTGGCACGTGGCAACACTAGGGTTGAACTCTGAGCCTCATGCTTACAAGGTAGGCACTTTTTGCCACTGTGTCATTTTCAGACCCTTTGCGATCATTTTTACACTATGTTTTGGCCAACTGGATTCAGAGATCTCAGCAACTATCTTTACAAAGCCCTTTGGCATGTAATTTATAAAATCTGGATTACCTCTTCAGATTACGTTTTCAGAATTTTCCCCTTGCAGTGATTTTTTTAAGGGAGGCTTCATTTTTTAAAATATGCCTATTTCTTTTTTTTTTTTTAATGAGTGTCTTGTGCCAGTCACCACATATAAAAATCTTCAGATTTTCAGAGTATGAGGTAATTGCTAAAGCCAACTGGAAATAGATCAGGGATTAACAAATGTAGCACATATTTGCTGATGTCACAGGACTGTGACTGCTGAGACTGACTTGGCACAATCACTGAAAAGAATCATCTAGTGGCAGGCAAATAAACTTATGAAGAAAATGTTACATTTGCTATTGTCAATGAATACCATGAGGATTGGAGGAATAGTACAGGGCTTCAAATGTCTTCATGCAGACATATGGTCACAAGTTCAGATATTGAGCATAATCCCCAAGCACCACTCAGACTGGTCCCTGAACACTATTTTGGAAGTGACTGTGAGCAACCCTGAATTTGACCTTCCCCACAACCCCCAGAATACTGGATTAGGGATGTAACTCAGCAGTAGAGCACATGTCTTACATGTGTGAGCCTCTGGGTTCAATCATGACCACAACCACCATCAAGAGACAAAGAGTGAGAGGGATGGGCAGGAGGTGGGGGATTATGGCATATCATTTTAAGGATTTGCCTTATGATGAATAAGTTTAAAATCATCAATACCTTAAGTTTTGAAGCCATACTTAAGTTTGAAGTCAGTATCTTCCATTATGTTACAGCCATGCCTAGTGTGTTCCTCCTCAGAGTTGCCTGCCTCTTCCTGGACCATTTTGCTATTCTCCACCTGTCCCATCAACCACCCCCAGCCAACAGCCCATCCACACACTTCCCTCCATTATTACTCCTCAGAGACCTGAAGCCAATCAGTCCACACTTCTACTGATTTTACTTTTGAGCTTCCCTTTCCTCCTTTCCACACTTTCTTTTACTTTTAGAAAACAAAATTAAACACAAAATTTTTGCTTGCACCATGCACCATTCTCCAAAGTCACCTTTATTCTTTGGAGAATGAGTACACTTCTACAAATATATCTCTCTCCACTTAAAAAAATTCATGGTGGGGGTTGAGAGGCAGAAAAATAGTACAATGGTTAGGGTGCTGACCTTGTATGAGACCAATTGGATTTTATTTATTTATTTATTTATTTATTTTGTTATTGAATCCCCATGAGATACAGTTACAAAGCTTTCATGTTTCAGTTTCAGTCATACAATGATTGAATATCCATCCCTCCACCAGTGCACATTCTCCACCACCAATGTTCCCAGTATACCTCCCCCCTTTCCAAACATCCCCCTGCCTCTATGGCAGACAATTTCCCCTATACTCTCTCTACTTTGGGGCATTATGGTTTACAATATAAATACTGAGAGGCTATCATGTTTGATTCTTTATCTACTTTCAGCACACATCTCCCATTACGAATAATTCCTCCAGCCGTCATTGACTTAGTGATTCCCTTCTCTATTCCAGCTACGTTCTCCCCAGCTCATGAGACAGGCTTCCGACTATAGAGCAATATTTCTGGCCCTTGTGTCTACTGTCCTTGGATGTCAGTCTCATATTACTTTATATTCCACAAATAAGTGCAGTGATTCTATGTCTGTCTTTCTCTTTCTGACTAATTTCACTTGGCATGATACTCATTTCACTGAGCATGGGCATCCACTTATAAGGAAATTTCATAACTTCATCTTTCCTAACAGCTGCATAGTATTCCATTGTGTAGATGTACCAAAGTTTCTTTAACCAGTCGTCTGTTCTCGGGTACTAGGGTTGTTTCCAGATTCTGGCTATTGTAAACAATGCTGTAATGAACATACAGGTATAGATGTCATTTCTACTGTGCTTTTTTGCACCCTTGGGATATATTCCCAGAAGTGTTATTGCAGGATCATATGGAAGCTGCATTTCTAATTTTTGAAGGAATGACCATATTGTTTCCCAAAAAGGCTGGACCAGTTGGCATTCCTACCTACAGTGAAAGAGCATACCTTTCTCCCCACATTCACACCAACACTGGTTGCTTTTGTTCTTTTGAATATGTGCCAGTCTCTCTGGTGTGAGATGATATCTTACTCTTGTTTAGATTTGCATCTCCCTGATGATTAGTGATGTGGAGCATGTTTTCATATGCCTTTTGGCCATTTGTATTTCATGTGTGTGTGTGTGTGTGTGTGTATTCCTTTTTTGAGGAAGCTTCTGTTCATTTCTTCTCCCCACTTTTTGATGGGGTTGAAGGTTTTTTCTTGTATAATTCTACTAATGTCTAGTATATCCTCAATATTAATACCTTATCAGATAGATATTGGGTAAATATTCTTTCCCATTCTATGAGAGCTCTCTGTATTCCAGTCACTGTTTCTTTTGAGGTGCAGAAGCTTCTTAGTTTAATGTACTCCCATTTGTTTATGTTGGTTTCCACTTACTTGTTCAGTGTTGTTTCATCCTTAAAGATGTTTTTAGCTTCAATGTCATTAAAGGGTTCTGCCTACATTTTCTTCCATGTACCTTATCGATTCAGATCTTATATTGAGGTCTTTAATTCACTTTGATCTAACTTTTGTGCCTGGCATTAGAGAGAGAACAGAGCTCATTTTTTTAGGAGGTAGCTGTCCATTTTTCACCGAACTACTTATTGAAGAGGCTTTCCTTGTTCTACTTCACATTTCTTGCTTCTTTATCAAACATTAAGTAATCGTATATTTGAGAATCTGTGACAGAATATTCAACTCCGTTCCATTGATCTGCAGGTCTGTTTTAAGTCCAATACCATGCTGTTTTAATTACTACTGCTTTGTGGTACAGTTTGAAGTTGGGAAGGTGAGGTCACCCATCTTCTTTTCCCTAAGTGTTGCTTTAGCTATTTGTGGGGGGTTGTTGTTCCATATGAATTTAAGGATGTTTTGTCTATTTTTTGAAAAATGTCATAGGTATCCTGGTAGAAACTGCATTAAATCTGTATAGTGCTTTACCAACCGGGGTTTGAGCTGAACACAGACAGGAGTGATCCTTGAGCTCAGCCAGAGTAAGCTGTGAGCACCACTGGAGATAGCCCAAACAAACCAAAAATAGAAAGTTCGAGGCTGGAGAGAAAATACAGCAGATAAGACACTTGCCCTATACTATTTCCCTGGCCTAATAAATTAGTTTTTTAAAAGAGAAATATTGGGGAAGAGAGAAGAAAGAGAGAGTATTCAAGAGGAAACATGTGCGAGAGGAAAAGGCCAAGAATATCCATCTCAGATTGAAATGTGGATGACACCCAAGATAGAGAATGTGCCCCACTGGTCATTACAAAGGTTGTAGCATTTTCCCAAACTTCCCCCACCTAGAGTCTTTTGGTAGCAAATCAGTACAGGGATGCATCTTGGATTCGTGTATCTCTTTTCAGATTGTTATCAGGATCCTTAGTTTCTCTTGAAGCCTCTTTTTTAAAGTGACTGCCTTGGTTTCCCCATCTCCAAAGATTTCCATATTTGCATCTCAGTGAGGTCCAACTTTCCTGCTTCTGGGCAGTTTCAGGACTAGTGGTAACTTCTTTAAATCATATCTTGGTTTTACTGCTCAAAGAAAAAACATTAGCAGCAGCACACACCCGCACACCAACACCCCCTTCCAGGCTCCCTCTATCTATATCACACCAGCGATTCCTGTAATTAAAGCAGGTTCATCACAAACATCTTGAGCTTTGTATTCATGTTGGATTTAATTTTGTATATCTCTTAGCACCCAACAGATAGGAGCTCGTATTTATTCTCTTAGTAGGTATATAAGAAGTATTTATTGAGTGCCAGAGGTGTCACTCAGTGGTAGAGCCTTGCATGTGTGAAGCCTTCAATTTGATCCCTCTTATCATGTACACACCAAGACGTATTTTTAAGATAGCTTCAAGAGCTGAGTGCATACAGTACATGAAGGAGGCCCATGTTTGATACCCAGAAGTTCAGGGTCCCCTGAGCAGTACCACCAGATGTGACCCAAATCCAGCATCCCCATAAAAGAGACAGTACTATTAAATACATACTCCTCTCTAAGATAAGCTTATGTAAATGTACTGTGTGAACTTGGTGCTTATGATACCTCCTCTGTCTTCCAGATACCTTTATATATGAATTTCTCTTGATTTTTACAGTGCAAAAACAGCTCTTTTTTATTAATAAAATTCAGTTAAATCTTCAAAATCAGTGACTTGTACTCTCTCTTTTGATAGGCTTGTGTGCAAGCTGAACACGAGGACCACCATCCTGGCAGCAACTAACCCCAAAGGCCAGTACGACCCCCACGAATCTGTCTCTGTGAACATTGCCCTTGGCAGCCCTCTCTTAAGCCGATTTGACCTGATCCTTGTTTTGCTTGATACCAAGAATGAAGACTGGGATCGCATAATTTCTTCCTTTATCTTAGAAAATAAAGGTATGTGGTGGCCAACAAAGTATTCAAGATGAAAAAGTAGACATAACCCAATGGATATACCTCCCAAGCAATTGGAGGTACTTAGCTAGAAAGCAAAGAGGATACACTGTTTGGTAATCACAAGTTAAAGAGCATATGAAGGGGCCTTTCTCTCGTTGCCATGGGTGAGATTGTCGCTGTAAAATGCCTCCTTTGTGATGTATAGAGACAATACTAGGATAAATAGTTACCACTCACCTCTTACATACAAACAAAACAGGACTGGACTAGGATGATTCTCAAAGATCTAGTAACATGCCTTCCATGCAGGAGGCCTGTGATCAAGCCCTGGCACCCCATGCCCCTCTGTGGACTGGGAGCAGCCCTGAGAACCACCAGATGTGGCTAAAGTATTAAAACAAAACAACCCATAAACCTGGGCTTCTTTTGCAATTAAATTATATATACTCAAATACTTTTCTATTTGCTTGTTTTGGGATCACACCTAGAAGTACTCAGTTTTTGTTCCTGGCTCTGTGCTCAGGGGTCACTCATGGCAGGACTTGGGGGACCATATGTGATGTTGGAGATTGAGCCTGAGTCAAGATAAGTTTCTTACCCTTTGTTCTATCTCTCTGCCCCTCAAATTTCTCTATTTCTATTGTACATACCGGAATTATTCTGAATAATTATTTTAAACCCTGAAGGAAGTTTACCTTTATTGAGTTTATATTCTGAGACTGGTTAATCTAGAACTGTATGCCATGCAGAGACCAGATTCCAATGGTCATAGATCCTAAAAATATCTCTACCAAAAAAAGGAGTGGAGGGTGGCAGGATTGGTGAAATGGATAAAAGTGATCAAAAGGTATAAACTTCTAGTTATGACATAACTTATAACTTATAAATTACATATAACAACATGTAAGTGCTAGAGATGTAATGTACTTACATGTATTAGATGCATTGCAGTGTGGTAACTGTAGTGAGCAGTATTAGATATAACATTTGATAGTTGCAAAGAGTGTACATCTTAAAAGTTACTTTCTTATTATAAGAAAAAAGATACAACTGTGAGATAATGGTTACCTAAACTTGTTAACTGCAAACTTATAGTGATCCTTTTTTCAGTATTCACCAGGAACAAATCAGGTTGTATACTTAAAACAATGTCATACGTGTCATAGAAAGAAAATAATAAAAAATAAAGAAATTAATGAATTTTACCTAGTTTTCAGAGGTTTTAACTTTTCAGTAGGAAGTTCTTTGAAGAGAAGTTGTAGATAGCTGATGACTTGAAAATAATTTGGGGGTTAGATTCATTCACCTTTTACACGATTCATGTCTCCTATTTTTTTTTTAATGTTTGAAACTTTATAAACACCAAGATTTACAAAGCTGTTCCTAGTACATTCAGGTATTTAGTGTTCCAGCACCAGTGTCCTAGTTGCCCACCTACTTCTCCAGCCTTTAACAGGCACAAAGTAATTTACTTTATATTGCTTGTTATGTATCTCATGATGGTGTAAGTAAAGTCATTGAGTGTTTACTGAACTGTTAGATGCAGTTAAATCTAATAAGTGTTATTGTTTATTGTTATTGTTTTCACTCATTGAGATTAGTGGGCTTCAACGCAACATTCCCATCTAATTTTCTATGTTCCTACTGGGCTGTCAGTCTTGGCCAAGTACTCCCAAGAGCTGTGGAGCTGGGAAGATTCAGCAGAATGGCATCTCAGCTGAGCTGTTTATACGTGTGGGTGCAGCACTGGGCGTTCCAACAGGACTGGCACTCCGCCCACCCCATCCCAAGAAGTCTCCAGAGATCTGGGCCCAGAGACCAGGACTATCTGGGCAGCTCAGTTGTGGCATTGGGGTCGGCTCTCCAAAATCAGTCATGGAACTGAGTTGTTTACTTGCATATAATGTTTTTAAGGTAAACGTAATTAGCTCAATTGATAAAAATGACTTAGGTTAAGGTCTTCAGAGTGGGTGAGAGTCATGTCTTACCAAGACGTTCCTCCTTCCTGGTAGCTGGAACTCGCCATGCCCTTCTAAAACTCTGCACATGCTGGTGGATGCTGACATAACTAGCAAGGTTTTTCTTGATCTGCAGAAAGAGGGTTCCTGCTACAGATCTCCTCCACCTGAGATTGACTTGGTCAGTAAAGTGATACTTTGTTGGTATAATTCGTCCAACAAGAAAGCCAGGGAAAGTCTAACCAGACCGATGGGCAAAATTTCCCAAAACTGACAAATCTCTTGCCCGTCATTTTACAGAAAACAAGAGAGACTTATAAGACAAAAAAAAAAAAAAGCCACTTAAAATAAGATGAATATTAACCCTTTAAAATATTCTTGGAAATTACTTATTCAGTACCTGATTTTATAGGTTACCCAAGCAAATCAGAGAAGCTCTGGAGTATGGACAAGATGAAGACTTACTTCTGCCTCATCAGGACCCTGCAGCCTAAACTGTCTGACATGGGGAATCAAGTTCTTCTTCGATACTACCAAATGCAGAGGCAGAGTGATTCCCGGAATGCTGCCCGCACCACCATCCGCCTATTGGAAAGCTTGATACGACTAGCAGAAGGTGGATTTTATTCAGCAGATAATATTTCCATTGTGTGTTGAGATGTGCCAGGCTTGGGGCTTTGCACCATGACCCAAAGATGAGATAAATCATCCCTCTTCTAAGGTGTTCACAATCACTTACATGTTCAAGGCTCCGTGGGGCCAAAGAAAGACCTCAGAGGACTCGTACACATGCTGTGCATGTCAGAAACCCAGGTTTAATCTTTGGTTTTATCCCCAGAAGTACAGAGTCTGGAAGAGGCCCTATGCACTCTCGAGTGTGGCCGCAAAACCAGTAAATAAAGATTCTGAGCTGTGAAACCTTTTCTCTTCTGGAAACAGATTATAGGAGTTAGAGAGGAATGCAGTATTATTAAGGAAGATAACTCTTTTTGTAACATTTTAGGAAATAAGCTACAACTTAAGTCATTGTTTAAAAAGTTTTATTTATGTTTTATTTCCCAATTTTACTCTCTCAGCATTTTGGGTGGGATACTCTTGCTTGAACTTGTTTTGCATATTGCTGCCTACCACAAGCATATAACACCCCAGCCCTCAGACATGAGTCACAGATACATTCATACAGCTAACATGTTTCTCAAGGCTGTTTTCTAGCAGTCACTTTTACATTTTGCCCTTGTTTACATCATTCTAAAGAGAATTCATATAAATTGTCAAATGACAATGATTAAAGAATTCTGTAAACAAATACATTTCATTTTTTAAAGAATTTATAGGTAATATTAGAACAAGCAATACCCAGAGTTGAGATTGTGAACTTGATAGTTTTATAAAGCTCAGAGGTAAAAATATGCAAAATGATTTCTAATTTATTAGACTTTTATTATAGATTAGAAAAATTTTGGAAGTTATTGAACAAAAAAAATATGCTTATATAGCCCCTTTCTTTGTGCTTTATCATATAAATAATAAAATTGCCATGGTCTGCGCAGAAGGATTAGGCCCATTATTAGAGAAAAAGCTAATTAAAGGTAGACTTTTGTGTTTGTCCTAGTAAAATTAGTCATTAGTGGCTTAGCCATAAGATAGTTTTTTAGAAAGAATCAGGCAGAATATTATATTCATCTCCCCAAATATTCATTTAAAAATACCTTTGGGCCAGAAAAAGCTCAATGAACTAGAGTACAAGGTTCCATTCAGGGGCCTTTAGATGTACCCCTGAGCTCACTCAGGCATAAACCATGAGTACAGAGTCAGGAGTAGCCCCAGAGCACCCTGTGTGTGGTCCATAACCAATAATAATAATGACATAATAATAAATTACTGCCCATAATCTCAAAAGCGTCTTATTTTCTTAGCACATGCTCGCCTGATGTTTCGTGACACGGTGACTCTGGAAGATGCTGTTACAGTGGTATCAGTAATGGAGTCTTCAATGCAGGTGAGGGTATTCTGTACCTACTATCTGAACCCTCACAACCATCCTGTTGTTCGTCGATTGCCTCGAGCAGGCCCCAGTAACGTCTCCTTCGTCCTAGCCCTGAGATTTTTATTTTTAAGTGCCATATCAAAGCTCATTCAGGGTTAGGAGAATGAGACCCATCATTGTTCCTGGTATTTGGCATATTGGGTACGCCACGGGAAGTTTGCCAGATTCTGCCGTGTGGGCAGGTTACATTCAGTAGCCTGCCAGTTTGTCCAAAGTAAGAATGAGACAATAAGATGTCGCTTCTGGGAGCTGGGTTTTATAGTCTCTGGGTCTTGGCCGTTGATGGGATTACATGGCGCCAGGGGGCCAGTTGGTGAGGGTGACCCCTGCCTACTGGAATATGGAGGATCTGGGTGGAGGATGCTCAGCCCCGATCCGAGCAGCCTTGGAGATCTCAGCCCCGGGACCCGCATGCCTTTTTTCCTCTGCCAGTACCTTCATGCCTGTGGAGAGTGGTCTCCGCATGGTGGTGGCTGGTTCTGGAGGTCTTCGGCTGCCGAAACCCTAAATGCAGGAAATTTCTTAAATATAATTTGTAACGTAAAGAATTATAAAAATGATCAGATTCTAGATGTACTAATTCCAAAACATATCTCTAAAGGAAGCCATTAAAAAGAATGGGGAAAGTCACAGAAACCATTCTACGCATTCTCAAGATTACTTTTTTCCCTTGCTATAAAGCAGCAATTCTCAGCTTTTCCCAGCATACCTGAAGAATGCTCATGGTCTCATGATTTCCTAGAGCAATGTTTGCCCCAAGAACTGCAAAAAAGGACTAGTGAAAATTGCAAAAGGCTTCCAGCAATTCTGCCCCCCAAAATAAGAGTGTGGAGAGTGGTCTCTGGCATCCGTGGTCCTTGGTACCTCCTCTGTGCAGGCTACTGATGACTGGTTTTCTACGGTATTTTCTATTTCTCCAGACAATTCTATAGGGTATATAGATTATAGATTATAGTGTATGGTCTATAATTTATACCATCTAGCCAATTTCTACCATAATGACCTCAGCAAGATCAGCTGCCCTTGAGTCTGAGGCTATTTGAAGACCTTCAGGGTTTGAGAACTATTTGAAGATCACTGATGGGAGCTCAGGATAGATTATAGCATATAATCAGAGTATAAGTAAAGGCCCTCCCGTTGATCATTGATTTGCTCAAGCGGGCCCAGTAACGTCTCCATTGGAGACTTTGTTGTTACTGTGTTTGGCATATTGAATACGTCATGGGGAGCTTGCCAGGCTCTGCCGTGCGGGCGAGATACTCTCGGTAGCTTGCCAGGCTCTCCAAGAGGGGCGGAGGAATCGAACTTGGGTCGGCTATGTTGGCTGCGTGCAAGGCAAACGCCCTACCGCTGTGCTATTGCTCCATCTCGCCCCCATGGCAGAGCCTGGCAAGCTCCCCGTGACATATTCGATATGCCAAACACAGTAACAATAATCAGAGTATAGCACACATAATTAAAAGTATCAGCAGTATGTCTGGAGCGATAGCCCAGTGGGTAGGGCGTTTGCCTTGCATGCAGCCCACACAGTCAACCCGAGTTCTATTCCTCCACCCATCTCAAGAAACTGGCAAGCTACCAAGAGTATCCTGCCTGCACGGCAGAGCCTGGCAAGCGCCCCATGACATATTCGATTTGCCAAACACAGTAACAGATCTCATGATGGAGACATTACTGGGCCCACTCGAGCAAATCGATGAACAACGGGAGGACAGTGCTACAGTGCTTTCTATTTCTCACTGTTTCAGGGAGGGGCGCTGCTCGGAGGTGTGAATGCACTTCACACTTCCTTTCCTGAAAACCCCCTGGAGGAGTACCAAAGACAGTGTGAACTCATTCTGGAAAAGCTAGAGCTGCACGACCTCTTGAGTGAAGAGTTAACAAGACTTCAAAGGTGAGAAAAGAAAATCAAGAAAGGCATATAATAGAAAATCATTGTTTGGCATTTAGTAAAATGAAGAAAGTATAGATTAAATGTGGAAATGTCTGTGCTGTGTGTCAGAAATTGTTTGAGTTGTCTATTGCCATATTATCAACACCCCAAAAATACCGTGGCTTAGATAAAAACAAATAATAAAAAGGGGGAAAATTCTTAGTGCTCAGTTTTCTGGGAGTCAGAAATGGAGAGAAGAGCTCATTGAGGATGTTGATCTGCATTCTAGAGCAGTGTAGAGCAATTCAGTTAGCTGTGAACAGATCTGGAGTTGACATATACCCAAGCATATAGGGATAGTTATTGGATCAGAGCTATGTCGTACTGTCATCTGGGAAAGCATGCCTGTTTCATTAACAAACAGCTCTGACCCTCAATTCAACAAAATTGTTATTATTTTTAATGTAGGAGTATTGCTATTTAATCAGCCATTGATTAAGCTAATTGTATTGGGCATGAACTCCACATTACTTGTTTTTTTTTTAATTGAATCACCATGAGATACAGTTACAAAGCTTTCATGTTCAAGATTCATTTGTACAATGATCGAACACCCATCCCTCCACCAGTGCACACACTTACCACCACCAGTGTCTACCAGTGCATACACTCCCCACCCCCAGTCCTCACCCTGCCTCCATGGCAGGCAATTTCTCCAATACTCTCTCTCTACTTTTTGGCATTTTGTTTTGCTCGAATTTTCCCACCACCATTCAAGCCTGCCTGCCAGGGCTAGATGCTAGATCCTTTATTGGCCAATGCTCATTTTGAATATCTTGGGTGCCACGGCCGTGTGCTTCTGGAATCCCATATTGTAAATGATTGAGTTCCAGAGACATTTCTGCAGGGCACTTAATCCATTTTGGGATTCAATTGGATGTCTCTGGACCAGGGCTGTTTGTGCTCTAAGATGGTGCCTGGAGGCACATTGGGGTTGACAGCCAGGCCAACGAGTGGATGGGGAGCCAGGGAGAGACAGTCCCGCACCACTGCCGCCACACAGCATGGGAATTTAGTCCTGGAACCCGCATACCTGGGCCTTGCTTGTGGAAGCTCTTGGTCACTGGAATTCCATCTGGAGTAGGCTGGGAGAGTGCACCTGCTCCATCTAGGGTACCCCGGTGAAATTGACTTGGTATGGGGCCCATATCTCCGGTTCTGTGGTGTCTTCTTATATTCACTGCTGTGTCTCTGGCTTTTGATCTCTTTCAAGATTTATTTATGAGTTTCTTAAGCAAGGCCGCTAATAGAGTTTGCAGGCTGGCGCTGGAATTGGTTCATGGAGGTGACTGCCAGTACTTTCATGTGTATTGGGAAGTGGGGGAAGGTATCCCACCCCAACTCCATAAAAGCCTGGAGGTTTCAGTCACAAAGCCCACATACCTGAATTTTCAGCTGATTATATCTTGCTGAGGTCTGTCCTGAGATGGTGGAGTCAGGCCAGGGGTATGGCAGCACTTTTGGATTGTGGAAGCAAGTGGCTGCTGGGGGCCCTGCTTGGGCAGGCACAGGTCAACCTGCCCCGCTCCAATTTACCCCAGTCTGTTCAGCCATGGGCGGGTTCGAGATTAGCTATAGCTTTTGATCTCTTTCGAGATTTATATGTGGGTTTCTGAAATAAGGCCAATAAATTGGCTTGTATAGCTGAGCTGGAGGTGTTTTGTGGGCATGGCTCCCACATACCTAACTTTTGGCCATTTAACTTCTTGGTAAACTTGGTCCCAGGTTGTTGGGGTCTGGCCAAAGGCACAGAAGCAATTTTTGGTGTCAGGAAGCTTGAGGGCACCATCAGGCTGCTGATGCACTCGCTGATGCACTCGCCCTGCAGATACAGGTTGACCTGTTGGTGGCACCATGCCCCCTAAAATTATTTCTCTTTGCCCTGCTATTGCCTAGTGCTCTAGACCACAATAAGCTTTACTTTTTATGAAATAACCCTCTTTTCTTTTGCTCTTTGGTTTTTTTTTAATGCACAGTGGTATTATGGTCCAAGCTGCTGCTTTGACTCTTTTGTGCTTTGATGGAGCTTATCCTTTTCAGGCCTGCCGTGGGCGGGCTGGAGTGACTACATGTTTTCACTGAGGACAAACTGACATACTAGATTCAGGAAGGAATGGATTTCTGAAGCTCAGAATTAGAACTATGTGATAGAAAAAAAACAATTTGGTAAATTTAAAGTGATCATCCTTTGAGGGAAACAAGCATGAAAATTTTTGTCCTCAGTAGAGAGTGATATTACAGACAGGATCTGAATTCTGCCTTAAGGTATGTTTTCCTGTAATATTTCTTTGTAATGCTGGGCTTGTTTCCAGGTTGATTCCCGTAACAACCTGTGGTGATCCACAGAGCAGCCAAGTGCCCTGCAAATGACAATGGATTACCTCCAAGATAAACTCTAAAGTTAAGCTTATCAAGTGTTAAAACCTCAGTAGCACTTATATTTTTACCCCTTATCATAGAGCTCTCTATTACTTAAGGAGATCACTTTTTTGGGTTGGTGTTTTTCTGGGGAGTCACACCTGATGGTGCTCAGAGCTTAGTCCTGGCTCTCTGATCAGGGATCACTCCTGGTGGGGCTCAGTGCTTGGGGCACTACATGAGGTTCCTTTGAGCGGGCCAGGATTGACTGCATTAACAAGCAAATTACCTCTTGTACTTTCTTTCCCAGCCCAAGAGATGATATTTTTATAACAAAACTATTTGTATTTTTATCACAAGATAAAGACATTTTACGAGCAACCATCTGTCCCAAATGGTGACCATTCTAGCATCTTTGATTGATTTGCTTGAGCGGGCCCAGTAATGTCTCCACTGGAGACTTTGTTGTTACTGTGTTTGGCATATCGAATACATCACGGGTAGTTTGCCAGGCTCTGCCGTGCAGGCGAAATACTCTCGTAGCTTGCCGGGCTCTCCGAGAGGCTACCATCTTTAACAAAAAACAAACAAAACAAACAAAGATGCTTTTTTACAATGAAGTAGTAAAACTGCAGGTTTTATGGGGATAACTTAATTATCCATTAATTATCCAAGTCGGAAATAGACAAAAGTACTAGAGTTAAATTTTCATATGCTTTTAAGTTATTTGTCTTTTAGAATACTGTTATTGTGCTCTAACAATTATGAGTATCCCTTGACTTCAGAGTATTTTGAATAGAAACTAGTGAATTAATAAAAGAACAAAAATCATAAATCATTCTGTTTCTCAGAGAGATCTACCATTGATATTTTAAGTTAAGTATGCTTGAACTTCATTTTAATTTAATGTGTTTCCTTGCATGCATTTTCAGAATAATTTTCTTATCTTTGTTCTGGTGCAGTTTCCTTTTGAGATTTAGTACAAGGTCTGATTTATGTTTTCTGACATGATTCCATTTCAGATTTAGTACAGGGTCTAAATAGAAACCGAAGCAGTATGTACACAGGGTCATGTTGCCCTTTATTATGAAAAGACATTTCAAGATTGCTAGGAAGAGCTTTTATTTTTCTACTAAAAATATGAAATGCCTCACAGATTTGTGTGTCATCCTTGTACCAGGGCCATGTTAGTCTTCTCTGTACCGTTCCAATTTTAGTTTATGTGCTGCTGAAGCGAGCACTAGGAAGGGTTTTTTGAAGGACTCTCGTTTGAAAAATACAATCCCCATTAGAAACTGGCCCTTAGGTATTATTAGTTTCTAAAATGCCTGCGATTTGAAATGAATATCCCTAATCATATTCTTTATTCTGGGAGGATCAATAGGTTTTAGTTCCGTATCAGCATGATGGAGAGTTGCTGCACAGAACAGATGTTGAAGTGTAGCTGGGCTTTGTGAGAAGATGTCACAGTTGCCTAGGAGATCTGCCATGAATGTAAAGACTGAGAGAGAGTGGTAGGGGCCCCCCATCCAGAGGAAGCACAGTCTCATTACTCTTGAGAAATGTGACTTTTTTAGTTGTAATAAAATTCCATACCCCGTTTAGGTAAAGAGCTGAAGCAATTTCAATCACTGATCTTTCACTTTGGATTTCATCCGCGAACTGGTTACAGAACAACCAGAGCGACATTCATGATTAGCAGGCCACTACTGTGCAGCGAGACACAGTCTGTCTCCCAACTCCATTTAGCATGGGAAGTGATGACAATGACCCTTCAATCTTAATTGAATTAAGTAGACTTTCAGACAGATATAAAAGTATAGACAGATCTGTGGCCACTTAATTTTATTATATTATATTTATAGAGGGCTAGAGTGATGGCACAGTGGGTAGGGTGTTTGCCTTACATGCAGCCGACCTGGGTTCGATTCCTCCACCGCTCATTCCTCCACTCCTCATTCCTCCATCCCTCTCGGAGAGCCCGGCAAGCTACCAAGAGTATCTCGGCTGCACAGCAGAGCCTGAAAAGTTCCCCGTGTCATATTCGATATGCCAAAAACAGTAACAATCTCACAATTTGTTGTGAGACGTTACTGGTGCTTGCTCGAGCAAATCGATGAACAATGGGAGGACAGTGCTAAGAAAGTGCTACATTTATAGAATATATTAGAATGATTTATCAGAGCAAAATATTTGACAAAACTTTGTACAAATGGGAAAATATTTCTTCTCCTGTTGCTCTGCAACCATATTTGGTATTAACTTGGAATTATCTTGGATTTAAAGCTTTATATGGCTCCTCTGAGAATACAGAAATGACAGGTTAAAATTCTCTTCCCATTAATCCACATTTTCCTTATGTATGTCCTCTACAGGTTGCGGAATCAAAGTGGGACCCAATCCCAACAACAGGCTACGGAAGCAGAGTCTACTCCAGAATTCATGAGCAATGACCAAGGTGAAAAATCCACATTTAGAACTTCCACACCCCAGGAAATGAATTGTGGCCGGCATATCTCTTCCCCTGGAGGTAGTCCCAAGGAAAAGCCGCTTCTTGATCTCTCATCCCATGTGGGGCCTAATAGATCAAATAGAAAGCATTCAGCTGAGCTCAGAACTAACCAAGATAATGGTTTAGACCAGTTTGATACCATGGTACCTCATCAAAGTGAACAAAAAAATACTGTTTCTGCATCTTTTAGTTCCAAAACAGCTGCAGGAGAAATGGCTTTTAAAGTCCACAACGAATTTCAAGGAAAGGAAAAGAATCAGCTGGGTCAAACTGGCCAACTTCCAGCTCCAGCAGAGACAGAGGGTACAGGGAGGCCAGATGATGTTGAGAGTGAAAAGGCAGCAGTAGTACCTGAAGCTGTAGTATCTGCTGATGAACCGAACTCAGTGCTGACTCATCATGTCCCCAGGAAACTGCACAAACTGCACAAGGGAAGAGCCCAGAAGTGTAGAAGCACCAACACAACACCTTCACTCCCCACTTGCCCTTCTCCTCAATGCACACCTGTCCCTAGCCCAGAAAAAATGCTGAAAACTCCCAAAAGAAAGAGACAGAAATCCCTCACTCTGGCTGAAGAGCCTGAACTTGAAAATGTTGAGAGTCAAGGTCCCCCTTTAGCCAAACTGGCAAAGTTTACTTTCATACGGAAGTCCAAACTGATCCACTGCCCTCAAGACCACAGCTATGAGTCTCCTGGTACAACTAAAGTAACAGTTGAGAGTCCTAACCCTTCCCAATGTAGAACAGGAGAAGAAGCAGTGCTACCTGGGAAGGGCTCAGAAAGGTTGACATCCATCTCAGGAAACTGAAGCTCAGAACAGCTACTGGGCAATGCAAAGGAGGTGCCACAACAGCCACCACAGAAACATGGATCAAGAGATAAAAGAGAATGTTTTCCTGAAAAGAGAATTATACAGCCTGAATTAGAGCTGAGGCATGAGACTGGGCATTTTCATCTTACTGGTGAAAAAGATGGAAAGGAGCTTTCGTGCAATAATAAAAGTGGCAAGGTTCATGCTTCTACCTTAACCAAATTGGCAAATTTCTCCTTCACTTCCTCTGAATCCAAAGAAGAATCCACATCTCCTCCTAAAAGTAAGAACTGGAGTGAGAAAGGCCCAAGCCTTCCTTCTACCACCACAGCCCCAATATTTGGCAGTAAAAGGAAAAGTTTTCAGCTAGAGAGTTCCACTGAGAAATTGAATCTTTCAAAAAAATCTCTCTTCTCTTTATCAGAACTAGATGATGAAGCATTAGATTTTGATTGGGAAGAAGAAATGAGAAAAAAACCATAATCATGAAAAGCTTTTTGATCAGCTTTCAGCTTCTTATCCCAATATAACACTTTGAAGGTAGCAGTATAGTATTTGTAAGGGTAGAAAACTGTTGACCCTACTAAGTTGGCATTCTCAAACTAGCTCCACTAGCAGGTTTTATAATTTCAGATATAACTTCTTGACTTAAAGAATTGTAAATCTGCTTAAGTAAGGGCAGCATTAGCTCTGAATCAAATGCTTCACATTGTGCTTAATTTGCAAAGGGGAGTACTTGTGTTCCCAAAGAAGTCCCTGTTTGGGGTTTGTTGGTAGTTGATTTTTTAGGGGCCACAGGGTCTTCGTTAGGTCACTTATTTTACTCATTGTGACTCAGTGCCAGGCTTGTGGTGCTCATATGCTATTCAAAGCAGACAAACTGCTCCTCTAGTTTTCCTTTTATTTGTTTCTTAGTGTTTCATCCAAGATTTACCAGGTACTGTGTATATTCATTAGGATTTGCCAAAATCATGTGCTTTTTCTAAACTTGTCTGAGTTTATTTTCATGTCAGATTAAATGCCACTAGTGCTTTTTTCTCTTTGAGAGGCATCTTTCTAAGTCCATGGTAACCCTGAAGCTGATCAAACAGTATTTCTCTGACATACAGGCTTTTTGGTTTAACCATTTTTTAGCCAACATGTGCTTCAAGGTAATCTTTAACTCTTGGGGACCTGTCTTCCGCACACTTTAAATCCATAATTGGAGGGAGGGTGTGCAGTAGCTTTCAATCATGTATCATGGCATGTAGCCAAGTGATTGAGAAGAAAAAAGAACTACTAAATCATGATACATTTGTCTTTAAAACAAAGCAAGTGACTATATTTGGGAGGAATGGACATCTTAAATGCTTGAAATAAGTTTTTCCTTCACATTCTAGTATGGGTTGCTAGAATTCTGTAACTGGAGACTTTTTCTTAATTATGAATCTGAAAAATAATTAGTATATTGTTTAATTTAGGGACTTTCAGACATGAGGAACATGTTAAAACTTGGCTTACTGTTCACTTCAGAGCCAGGGAGATAGCTTAAAGGTCTGGAGTTTATGCTTTGACATCAGAGCCCCAAATGTTCAATCCCCAGCACTTGAAGATCCCTTGAGCACTGCTGGGAGCACCCCTCAAGCACTGATCTGGGAGACTCCCCTGAGCACTGTTGGTTGTGGCCACAAAGCAACAGCAAAAAGACAAAGTTCATTTCATCAGATTATACTGGAAAAGTAAAGATTCCCAGTTTTTCTTGAATGTTAACACCAGAATTGATAACATTTTCAGGAACGCTTTAAACTTTGACTAGAAAGTTAGAATGGATGAGTCTTTTGAAGTTTTCAAACTGTTTCAGCAGCTAATCAGAGACGTATAAGATATAAAATTTATTGTTATGAATTTAGTTCTCCCTATTTAAAACATCAAGACTGGTCTAAGTTCTTTGTTGTTTCTGTACTTAATAATGTCCCAGCATAGTATGAATATTAATTTTCTAAATTGCTATCTTTCAATATAACTACTCCTAAGTTTCACTGTACTTGCTAAAACAAAAAGAAAGGCTCTAGGTTGTTGGCAAATTGAATTGATCTGGCTATGGTATGTTTTGGTAGCCTAGGATATTTTAATTCATAGCCTCTTGTTGATGAGCTGCTTTTAAAAAATTAATAATAATAAAGGGCCTCCCCAGAACTCTTCAGGGGCTGAGAGGTGTGTGGATGGGCAGGGCCCACTTCCATCTCCACGGGTGCTCATCCTGGACCCAGTAGTGCTGGGAGTTCACCAGGTCCACATGCTATGGTGCTGCGGTGCAAGGCCGGGGGGGGGGGGGGGCGGCAGTGCCAGGGAGCTAACTCATGCACGTGGGGCATGTACTCCAGCCCATTGAACTGTGACTTTGGGCTCAGCTGCTTCCCTTCATTACCATATTTTTGTATCTAAAACCTGGTATTTTTTACCATAATAACATTAAATGTGGTGTGATTTAAGATATAAAATCTCTTCGCTTGTCATCATATTAAGTAAGGTGTTTTGATGCTATCAACATTTGAAATGGATGTTATGTTATCTAGGGAATAGAACAGGGTTTTTTGTGTTTATACTCATTTTCTTTTTTTTTTTTTCTGCTATCGAGTCATCAGCCTGCTTCTTGATTCCTTTAAGCATTTCCTGTATAAATAGTAGGTATTATTGATCAAATTTGGGTGTCAGAGATATCCAGAGGGGTCAGCAATGGGCAAAGTGCTTCTACTTTGGTTGAGAATTCCTTGTAGTTTTGCAGCCGGGAAGTGTTGAATATTCCGAAATCACGATTTACTCTGTTGATGTCCTTTTCTTTTTATTTTCTAGCATTGGAAATGTAATTGTTTAATATTTAAAGTCATTAAAATGAAATAAATAAAATATTATTGTGACTTTTTTGTCTTAAACGTTTTTGGTTTTTCTTGACCAGTGGTGGTAGGATGGGATATAGGGGTTCCCAGGCAGTGCCCCGGGACCTAAGGACCACTCCGAGCTGTGGAGGGACATTGTGGTGGATGCTTCTGAGGCACATGTATTCACCTTTTCCTGTATGCTGTGAGATTTCATGAATGTCAAGATTCTTCCCGGATGGGTTTTTTTTTTTACATTATATTTATTTATTTATTTATTTATTTATTGAATCGCTGTGGGAAAAGTTACAAAGCTTTCAGGTTTAGGTCTCGGTCATGCAAATATCAATCACATTTCCCTTTACCAATACTTATTTTTCACCATGAAGAACCCCAATAAACCCCTCACCCCCCCAATGACTGTGAGGCAGATTAATTCTAGTTAACACTCTATCTACTTTGACTAGCTTCATTGTTTTGATAAAAGTTGCACCAATATTATTTAGAGTTTACCCCCCCCCCCATCAGCCATGCTGAAAAAGCATTGTGAAATGATTTGCTTTCTACAGCTGGATTCAAGAATTAAATGATGTCGCGCAGTTTTGGATTTCTGCTATTTTACTTATTAACCCTGGAAGTATTTCTACTGAGAGTCAGATAATTAAGAGATTGGTTTCTCTGCTCTGGAGTCATGGCTGTGCCGGAGAGCCGCTCGTGGTGGGCAACTGGTGACCTCTGTAGGGCATGAAGGACAGGCCGGAACGCCCCCCTTCCCATGAGGTTTCAGTCGTGCCCCCACCCCTGGCTGTCATACCTGCTGTCCACAAGGCTCCCATGCGGCCTCCATCTTTCTTTCCAGAGAGGAGCCGGATGGTTTTTAAAGTGCGTAACAAGGAAGCATACAGGTGTCTTTAGGGAAGTAATGTACAGTTTCAAAAGTTTGTCTGATCATTAAAGGAAAGTGTAAAAAGTACCCTTAATGCTTGAGTCTTGTTGGATTATTCTTACTAAAGACTAGCGGGTGCATATGCTGCCTCAGCACATATGTTGCTGCCAAGTGAATGCAGTGCCCAAGTACATGTGTGGCCTGCATCTCCCTTCTTGCGATGTGTACTTTCATGCTTTCATATCTAGTGCTGGGATATGTACCGGAGTGCTCGTTCCACTTTGGGTAAGCAAATGTGTTCTCTCTTGAGCACATTACTCTCTCCCCTGTCCCCATTTTCAAAACTTGCAAATAAAACCTGTTATACTTAAATACTTTAAAAAAAAAAAAAAAGACTAGCGGACTCCAAGGCTGGAGCAGTAGTACAGTGAGTAGTGCACGTGCCTTGCACATAGCTGACCTAGGTTTGAAAACCTAGCACCCCATATGGTCCCCTGAGTACAGCCAGGAGTGATCCCTGAGCTAAGAGCCAGAAGTACGCCTCAAGAACTGCCAGATATGGACTCAAAACAAAATGAAAGACTAGCAGAATCCTTGATATAAGTTTTATAATGTAATGTTATTTGAACACAATTTTTTTATAAAAGTACCAAAGTAGATTGTTACTAGAACTGTATAAACAATTGAGTTATTATGTTTCAGTGTTTCTGACTGGAAAATATGTAATTTAATTGATATTTTAATATGTTATGCAATTTATGATGGGATTTATTATAGTTTTAAACTATATCTTAGAAATATAAGCAAAACGAGCATATTGTGATGTCTTTACCTCTTTGACTTAACTCAGACTTTAAGCTTTTCTAAAGGCATTCTAAAATTTTAATAGTATATAGTTTTGCTTTACAAATATTTATTTTACCAAACTTACATATTTTGTCGGGGCTGGGGCGATAGCATATTGGGTAGGGTGTTTGCCTTGCACATAGCCAACCCGGGTTCAATCCCTCCACCCCTCTCAAAGAGCCCGCAAGCTACCGCACAGCAAAGCCTGGCAAGCTCCCCGTGACATATTAGACATGCAAAAACAGTAACAACAAGTCTCACAATTTTTTGAGATGTTATCTGGTGCCTGCTCAAGGAAATCAATGAACAATGGGAGGACAGTTCTACAGTGCTAAATATCTTGTGTGTATGTTTTACTTCAAGAGCTAAACATACGTTACGGTGGTTACTGGAAAATCAGCTTGAGAAAAATCAGTGATCAGCCACAAGGGGGACCTCCAGAGCTCACCTTTAACCAAGTCACTGGCTTTGAAATAGTTACAAACCTACATACATATCTTGAAAATCTCAATCAAGAGATTGTCTGGGACCAGGCTGACTGTTCACATGCAGCTGATCAGGTAACCTATGTCCAAAACTAACATTTAGACCTAAGCCATTTAGAAGGTTCCTTTTATTCCTCAGTGTTCAGAATACCATCTTCTATATTAGCATTCTATTTAATATTTAAAGGGAAATAGAATGAAATTCCTTATATTGAATTAGTAATGGTAGTGTAGATCATACATTTGCTTGTTTAGATAAATATTTCTCTTGTAAGTAAGGGGAAGACAGTCTAACGCAGGAATGATCAAATGATTTTTCCCTTTTCCCTTTCATTCTTCCTTGCCTCTCAACACTCAGAAGTCACAAACTCAAGTAGGGTTGAGCAGGAATGAGCCACAGTCAAAGCTTGCTCAAAATTCTGCAGGTGATTTCCCAGTGAAAAACTGTCCATTCCATTCCACTGTTCACGAGAGAATGTCAAACTGTCTTGACCACACAATACTTCTGCAATTCAATCACTGTTCTTGCTTACCTCATGTTCTTTGCTTCACAGAAAATCTAATTGCCTTTACTAAAATATTAATATAATCCTTTCCCTTAGGGCTGTAGTGATAGCCCAGTGGATAGGGCAGTTGCCTTGCATGCAGCCCACTAGGCTGACCCAGGTTCGATTCCTCTGCCCCCCTTGGAGAGCCTGGCAAGCTACTGAGAGCATCTTGCTCGAACGAAGCTACCTGTGACGTATTCAATATGCCAAACACAGTAACAACAAGTCTCACAATGGAGATGTTACTGGGCCCGCTCGAGCAAATCGATGAACAACAGGAGGACAGTGACAGTGATATCAGCATTCTACATTAACATTGAAAGAGATGAAAGAAGGCTCCTGACTCACATCAGCATTCACTTCAGCAGAGTCTTTGCTTTCACTGTCCCATCTTGCATGTCGTAGGGGCCCTCAGAAATATGGGGAGACATTCCCAGCACATATCCTATTCAGTATCACTCAGGACATGTACCAGAAGCTGTGTTATCTTCAGTACTTTTACAGGTCCAATATCTCCTCTCTTGCTTGAAAGTTTAAACATGTTTAAAGTATTTTTTTAATGAGTGAACAAAAGTTCATGAATTTTTTATGTAGATATTCCAGTGGGAAGTACATTCTGAGATGAAAGTGGGATGTGATCATTGGGTGTGATTTATTTCACGAAGCAGAAACTATCTTGTAAACACACATAATATTTAGACCTCTCCTATTTATACTGACATTCTAACTATGGAAGATCTAAACTACCTAAAAGAATGTATTGGGTTAATAACAAAACCAGTTTTGAAATATCAATAACTGAACTTTCAGTGTCCACTGGTAAGGTAGCATAGAAATATTAAGCCAACAGATTAGATTCTAGAACCAAATAAGTTGCTAGTCAGCTATATGAGCTGTGTCTATCTTCAGAGACCCATAGAAGCAGAAGTCTGAGTCAAGTGTTGTTAAGTTTTAAGAAAGGAGAATCCTAAGAGGCTATATGCAGTAAAATGATGTCTTGTAAGGATTTAGCAGGGCAGGAAACACTCTAGGAAGGTGACATGTTCTCCTAAGGGCTAGTGCTCTCCTGCTGCCTCTTAAGTATATGCCAGTGTGCTCCCCACATCACAGCCCCACATTCTGCTCATTCAAGACTTCTCTAAGAGCTTTTCATTTGCTTTGGGAGCAGATCCCAACTATATCTTTTCCTGTTTTTACCAGGTGATGCACCCACTTCTACTTAACTGATTCAGACTGTTCACTTTAAGAGGAAGTGGAGATGGAGGTGGTTGAGTGACCTTCTGGGCCAAATATAGCTGTGGGTAGAGACAGTCCCCCCAAAAGGGAGATGGGTGGCAGTGATTGGTCAGTCTAGTGAGTGTCTTCTGTCTTCACAGGGTTTGAACTTACAGATTCTATCATTCTACCAACCTTTATAGTGTTTCTTACAATTACCAAGTTGGAAGAGCATGTCTCTGAAGACTTCAGTTTATCTTTCCCGAGGAAGTCACATAAATTCTGACCTGAAGGCAACTAAATGTTTTTTAGGTTCTAGCCACTTTTATCTGTTGAAAGTACAGTCTATGCTGTAGGTCAGATAAGAAGCTTTTTCTTGTGTCCCTGGGTAGCAAACATTTATTTTTCTATGTATAAATTGATCCTTGTAACCGCATCATAGCTCTCAGGAATACTCAGATTGAAGAACAGATATAAAGGAT